GCTATCAGCTTACGTAGCCAACCATCGCTGTGCACCTTCTTCCGCTTTCAGCGCACGTCGTTTGGTTTTGGTGGCGTAATTTATTGGACGATGGTGGAGATACAGTCCACAGTGGTTGGAGGCTCATGCGACGGCATACAATACCAAGATAGCGTGCGGTGACACTGGAACAAGATCCAACGACCTTCAGGTGGTCAGTGGCAGCAACGGTTCAAGCTTCGGTGGTCCCTCGAGTGGTCAAGAGTGGTTTTAGAAGATCCATGACGGCCATGTTTATACTTAATGTTTATATAGGTAGATAGTAGGATTTAGATATTACATTTGGAGCCTTCGGTCTTATATTCCAGAACAGCATTTACTGCCAATAACACAAGGGCACGCGGTAGTGGCGGTGGTAGTTCCGGAAGACTGGATATTGCTGTCGGTGAGCATTACTACTAGCGGTAGTTTGCGCTCATCCGGCAGAGCCAAGAGCCAATTTAGCTGGCCTTGTATTGAGTTTCGAGTTTTTGCTGTGTATTGGAGATGCTATTACGCTGTCCAAATATTTTTACCGTTCGGAGTATAGCTCCAATACCCCCGTATCGCGTCTGAACAAGTGTGGTATAGGGACTGTGAGGTATACTTGCGTGAAGAAAAGGGCACTCTAGCCTTTGCTCGCGGCGTAGTGTTGGGTGTTTGGCAGCTATCCGGTGGGACACACGGTACACAGGGTATATACCAATCTGGCAGGGTAGAACTAGGGTCTTCAGGTTTATTGCTCACATTAACGCCTATTGAGTCTTCGTGACTTAGTGAGTGTTGTTGGGGAAGCGTGCTATACATTTTTGGCGTGTTTCTACACGACACTCCAATGTCTAGTCCATTTTAAGCAGCCTCTTCTTAATAGCGGATCGATGCTTGGGGTAGCTATCGAGCTTGCGGTTTTCCTGCAAAGTCATATACTTCATAAACCGGTCTACCAGCTTCATAGACGTAGGACTGTCCTCGTGTCCGAGAAGGCAGGAAGCGATGAAGCCCATGTTTACATCTTCTGACAGCAAGAAGCGCTCAAAAGTGCTGATGGCCGTTTCCCGTTCATTTTGTGAGTTATCAGGAGCGAACTTTTGCAGGGTCATTGTTTAATTCAGTCTTTGTCGGCAGAAGCACTGATAGATATAAGTGCACACGTCAAAATAATGGCTTGTATATATTCTCTTAACATGTCTCGGTCGGCAGCAGCTTAATCTACCCTTTTGCCAATAGATTGGATAGACAATTGTAAGCAGCTGTTTGATTAGGTAGTATTCAAATACGTGGACTATTTTGGCTAATGTCTATTCAAGAAAAAAAGTGTTGGCACTGTCACATCATCCATACAAATACCTAGGGGATGTAACGAGTCAATTCGGTTAAAACCGAATTGTATTCGAATCGGAACCGGTTAGACCCGGTCCAAAATTATCCGAATCAAACCGGATAGAATTCAGTTCAAGGGTTAAACCCTTTCACTATCAACAGAAGATTGAAGGTCCGCCTTGGACCCATTGCACAGCCAATCAGTAAAGGAAGCCAAGCCAATCAGGTAGCTAGAAAGGTACACGTGTTCTGCCATCGTGTAGCTCACGGTATTTCTCGGCAATTTGAAAATCCAAATCAGGACAAGAACGACGATGGAGCGCAGAGCTGACGAGGAAGGAGGAGCTTGCATCTACTGTGGGTGTTTCCCCTGCGAGTGGGAGCAGTACGGCGCCGAGATACTGGCTAGCAGAGTCAGGATAATGACGTGCAGGCGAAGGAGACGAGCTCCCCGCAAACTTGGTTGCTGCTCTCTACCAACTCTATCATTACAAGAAGCATGGCTGCTTGTCGAAGGGGGCTGTTCCCCTCTTCCCGACGTGTATCGAGCGTCATTTAAGCGCTGTAACTGAGGTAAACAGGTATGTACAAGGCTGTATTAGCTACTTATCTAGTCTGCTATCAACTCGAGCTGATCTAGTGTTGTTATGGTCTTGTTGTTCTTCAGACGTGGCTGCACCACGGCATCACCGGAAGCAGCGGCGCAAACAGCGTCCAACGCTTCACGTACGCTGAGAGATGTTGAAGTAAACGCGTGCTGAAAATGAAAAGCAGTCCAGCAGGTAACGTGAAAACCTCTATTGCAACCCATGCAGCCGTACCTTGCCTTCTTACTAAGACCTCGTAATGTGCATAGATAGCAAACAAGTTTACCTTTGGAGAACTTAGTCGAGTTTGGAGTAATCGTATGCACGCTTGTATCCATTCCAACAATCTCTTGTAGCGTTTCAGCTGGTGGTGTTGGGCGCCGCTTTCTCTCCATGCGAACTCGTTGTGGTAATGTTAGCTGTTCTGCTACACGGCGTTTGAATTCGCGAAGAGTGATTCGCTTGCACGCGCTACCAGACACTTTGTTGAAAATGCAAAAAGCATTGATAAGAGCCATGTCCATTGCCCAGGTAAGAGTGTTCATCGATAGTCGGGTCTCTTTTCGTCGGATGGGATTCGTGCTTCGAAGCTGATCAACTCTGTCGACACCGTTCATGAACAAGTTATAGGCAACGATAAAGGCTGGCACTTGAAACGTTGTTCTATGCAGATTTTGCTCGCCAGTCCATCGCCGAATTGGAGCTAGACCACGACACAAACGAACTGCCTCCTCGGAATCTTGGGTAAGCACGCGCTGCGACGGAGTTCCGGCGAGGTTGTTCGTGTAGAACACTACCGTCTTTCTGTCCTTGAAGACTATGTATCCTGCGTTAGCAGCAAAATTCATCGGGGGTACGTAGGCGATTTTTTGGTGGGCTGGTAGTCACTTCTGTTTGTTCTGATGTGCTTTTTGTTGCTTCTCCCAGTCAGTAGGAACGTCAACAGCGGCGATAAGCTCCCACGTCCCGCGCTCTGATTCCTTGAGCCGCTCTTTAGCTTCTTCTAGAACCGTGGAGTTCCACTTTCCTTGCAATACAATCCTCACTGTGCCCAGCATTTGCATTTCTCCGTCTGTAAATGCCAATAACGCCTGAGCCAAAGTATGTCTCGTGTAAAAATTGTCACAAACCAACAGGCGGCGGCCGGTGGGATCTTGGTGGGACTTCGTGATATGGCCACACATAGCTACCCATAGTGCGCTTGCAGAATCCTTTTTCACGTGGATGTCGTTACCACCGAGAGTCCTAAACAGTGGTGTACGGAGATCGGGAAACACATCAACGTAGCGCTCGGTTGGAGAAGCAGTTAGTTTGTTGCCCGAACCATTGTCCCAAATTGAGTAGATGTAGAGACTCTCCCAACCAACTACACTGTAAAATCGCACGCCGTATTGGTCTGGCTTCGAGGGCAAGTACGATTTGGCTGCTGTTCTTGCCTTCGTCCTTACTGTCTTTTCATCAAGGCTGATTACACCAACAGGTACAGCAGTCGCGGCAAACTTCCTCTGCATCTCGGTCATGAGCAGTCTGCTGTGCCATAATGGATCCGCAGCCCTTCTATCAGCAGACACGCTATCAGGAGGGTGAGTCTGTAGTCTTTCCACGGATGTTTTGGTAGCGATTCCTAGGCATAGTCGACGCAAAATCGTTCTGTCCAAGGAATAGTTTTGTCGACCAAAATTCAGCTAGCTCTGTGAATGGAGAGATACTAGTGGCAATTTCCAGACCAAAAAATGCATCCATTTCGACGGAGGTCATAAGCTCTTTTCCCTATTCACGTAGGTTTTCGTTAGTCCAGCCTCGCAACGAGTTCCGAAAGTCACGCGAAAAAAAAGAGAAAAGAGACCGAGCTCTTGGCGTTCTTTATATGCTAAGCATGACCTCTCTCTCGCGGATAATGTGAAGGCCACTGTCTCGAATCAGATTTTCTATGTACTCGTTGCCGGTACGACGGACCGAGCCTTGTGCAGGTTGGGACTCCTCGCCAGCTTCTACCTCTTCCTCCTCCTCCTCCACTGCAAGGTCAGCGGACGCCTCGTCAGACGCTACCCCATCCTCCACTGACAGATCAGGTTCATCATCGTCAAACTCCCAGTCACTCGAAGCGTTGTCTACGGCGTTTAGAAGCTCTGTGATGTCCATTCCAGACTTTTGTAGAATGATGAGTAGCCGCCAAACTCCAGTTTCGCGCCACAGCAAATGATTGGTTCAACTGAGGTTCTCTGTTGTTGTGGGACTTACGGTACTGCATCGGAAATGGTCTCTTACAGGTCCTCTGTGGACCTGTAACCGTCTGTCACATGGGGTAGGCATACACGACAGTTTGTTCTGACCAATTACAAGAAACAAGAGCAGATTTACAGGGCCACAATGGGTCTCTAAAAAGACGCGAGTTTGCCGGGAGTGAAAAAGTTAAAGAAAAGACCATTTGCCATGTTATTAGCCTTTGATATCTAATAGACCCCTAGTAGTTGATACGGGGCATACCGATCGGGAGAGGTAAAATTCTCTAGCAAAACATTCCACTACTAAACGCACCATACAACAAATTCGTTTTGAGGTGAAACTTAAATACCTTAATAACCGGTTTAACCGGATTTGACTCGGTTTGACCCGGTCCAAATTCGGTTTAATCCGGCTGTGTGCAAAAGGCCAACCCGAAATCCGGTTGAAACCGGTTTACATTCTCTACAAATACCCTGTCTTATAAGACCTTATGATTGATTGGTTAAAATACACGTTCATATTATTCACCTCATGGCAGTAAACGCACACACATTCTCGCTCTGATTATGAGCGCACGCGTGGACATGGAACGCCGCCGAGCTCCGTTGTCTCCGCCTCGCTCGCCCGACACAGACCCAGACCTGGATCTACTGCTAGACCAAGACCTCAACGACGACGAGTTCGATCGCCTTGTTGCTTCTCGCACGTCGCCTAAAGGCTCCAAGCGCATGAGGCTCCTGCAAAAACCCCAGAAGGCCGCGGCGCTGCAAATGATGGCGAAAGCGCGACGCAGCGGTGCAAAGGTTTTTCTTAAATTTTGCAGTGCGTGGATTCTCTTCGGCCTTTTGTGGATCCGCTGGCCAATTTTCGATCTCGAAGTGTTCCCGTTAGTGGAGGCGAAATTAGGTGACAAACTAGACGTGGAACCTTTTGTGGTTTCCGTTGCTTTGGTGTTTCCTTTCCTTTTGGCGGGGGTAATTTTCTATTGGAGACAAGAGTCTGTCGGCTCGCTGGCCAGATGGGGACAACAGCTTAAGGTAGTGCAGTGGGTGAAGGCCCGCCCGAGCATCGGCAAACGTTTCGGGCTCGATGCCGTCGACGTGGTGTTGGTCAGTGGCTTCTTGCTGCTGCAACTCAACCTCGTGGTGGGGAAATTGCTGATCGACAAGGAAAATGGCAAACTGGCAAAAGCGGGCATTGTGGTCCGGACAGCTCGTGCCTTTGGCATGAACGGCCTGTACGCGATGGTGCTATCTGTGATATTAGTGGCAAGGCAATCGTTTTTGCACAAGTTTTTCGGGCTATCAGGCGAAAGAGCAGCGCGGTATCATGTTTTAACAGGACAATTTGGATTCATCATGCTGGTGTTGCATGGCGTGTTGTACATTTTGGTTTGGTACTCGCAAGGCAAAGTGGAAAAAATGTTGTTTCCGTGTCTGGCTGAAAGTTGCACCCCTAAACAACGTTATGGATCTACCCGCAACTTTTTCGGCGCAGTGGCAATGTTGCCGCTTTTGGTTGTTGCTGTGTCTTCGATGGAATGGGTACGTCGTCGCTTTTTCCGACGTTTTATCGTGTTGCATTGCTTGAGTGCAGGTTTCATCGTGTTTACGGCTTTGCATTACTACGCCGCATCGTTTTGGCTGGTGCCGGCAATTGTTTTGTACGGAATTTACCGAACCGTTTCCGCTTTCGGACGTGGAAAAGCAAGTGTCATGTCGGCAACTGCAATGAGCAACAAAGTTTTCCAGTTGGAGTTGCGACGATCAACTACGCCAGGGTCGGATTTCTCGCCAGGACAATATGTGTACATTAAAGTGGACGCAATTGGGAAAGAGTGGCATCCATTCACCATCAGTTCCAGTCCACTACGTAATCGTCACTCGTTCGTTCTAGACGCTAAAGTGCAAGGACCTTTCACGTCTCAAGTGGTGACTTTGATGAAGACACATCAGCTTCAAACTGTCCACGTGGACGGATACTATGGCTCCGAAATCAAGTTGGCTCCGCACATGGTGTTTGTGGCAGGAGGCAGCGGTATGACCCCGTTCTTAAGTGTTTTAGATCATTTAAAGGCACTTGCGGAATTGAACGACCGTGACGAAGTGACGGAGAATTCAGAGCTGCCACGTACCTTGTGGATTGTCTGGACGTGTCGTGATCTGGAGTTTTTGGAGGCACACGCAGAGCTACTGGATGCAGTGAACCGCTGTTCGCAATGGAAATGCAAAATCTGGTTACATCATACGCATTCTGTCAGTGGTAGTGAATATGACGAAGATGATGACACTCAAACAGAGCCGGATGATCTATCCGAGGAATCCTCACCTCGCGCTCAGCGCTTCTATCCCCCGTCGTTGGAGCGTCATGCCTTCTCGGGTCACAACTACATGCAAGGATTGCCGTTGTTTGTTGGGACGGCATTAGGGTGTGCACTCATGATGATGTGGGTGTTCCGGTTAGAAGAATTTACAGCCAAATCGTTCGTAAGACGCACGCTGTTGCCGTGTGCGGGTGCGCTTGGCGCTGTGCTTGGAGCGAGTGCTGTGTTGTATTTACTGACGCGATGGAATGCTCGTAGGAGCGGCGATGGAGCCATGGGTGTTGCAATGGGGGAGATGGAATTGGAAGGTTTGGATATTGCCAGTCCAGCGGCGCCTGCCACGCCACGGTCAATGCCAACGCCAGCACAGTCTGTGCTCAGTAGGAACTTCTTGATCGAAAAGGAGCGCCCGGATTTGAGTACACGACTGCGTGACGTACACAGCGAGATTCGGGAAAGTTATGGCATGAAGGCGGACGTAGTATTACTCGTGAGTGGGCCAGCGAATTTGCAGTCTGATACACTGTTGCTAGCGCGTGAGCTACAGTCACCTTCTTTTAAGCTAGACCAGAAGTCATTCCTACTGTAAAAGCTTTGACAATTTTGCTCTACGCCCTTTCTTGAGTTTCCTTCTGTATGAAGACATCCTGAGAGATGATCAAGACATTTCTGCTGTGAGCACACCACTTCGAAGCGCATTTAAACAATGAAGGATCAGAGGAAAGGTAAAATCCGAAAACAAGTTTAGAAGTTTTGTTGGCCATCTTGCTAGTGCTTACACACTACCGTCAGCGTATTAGTACAGATTTGTACAAGTACGTATCTCGAACGAAGCAATACGAATACACCAGTGTGAACTGCTTGCATGGAACCATTGTGCATTTTGCCAACCAAGACCGAGCTCCAAGACAATCTGCCGAGAATGAATTTAACCGTGTGTTTTGCTGCTTTCGTCGGCGCTGTGGCAACTATCGCTGTCACTATCGATGCTGCCTATTGCCCCAGCACGCTGGGATGCGGCTACATCTACTCTCCATCCAACACCCGAATCAGTCAATGCTGCGAGAACAAAGGCGGCGATTTCTCGGCGTGTTGCGCTTCGAGTTGCCGCACTGGCAGCCCATGCAGCTAAGCTGACGGGACAATTGGCTACCAATTCTCTCCTCAGGAAACATTACAGCAGCTTTCCCATGTTCTCGGTTCGTGTCGATTGTCAGCTATACTACTACATCTGTATTACCAAGATACAATAAGAAACACGAATGCAGCTACTCAGTCGAACTTTTTGATCGGAAACGGTCACCGCTTTATCTTACCGTAATCAGATTTGTTTATGCGTGCACCAACAATGAAGCAGTACCCTGTAATTCAGGTCATTTTGCTTTTGTCGAGCCATACCTCACTCACTACTAAGACCGAGAGCGAAGAAAACCCACCTCCGACGATGATCCTCAAGACTTGCGTTGTTGCTTTCATCGGTACCGCGATCGCCGTCGCTCTCACTGCTGTCGAAGCTGTCTTCTGCTTCAGCACTTCAGCATGCGGCTCCAATACTTTTTCTTCCAACATCCGGATCAGTCAGTGCTGCGAGAACTACAGTGGAGACTTCACGAAATGTTGCGCTACGAGTTGCAGCTCCGGCAGCCCGTGCCGTTAAGTAGGCGTAAAGCAATGCCTCTTACTTGTCAAGTACTTAAGTACCAGCTAGACAAGCAGACAAGCATCTCATAAAGATTACAAGAAATCCTTCCCTTGTTTTCTTAGCTCGTGTCGATAAAAAGCTTTACTATTGACGAAATTTTCAAGGTATGATCAGACGCAATAATGCGATTGATGGCGTTGTTGGTGCAGGGCAGCCACGCGGCAGCGGCAGGAGTGCTGGACGAAAACTCAATTCACGCGATACACAATCCAATACCAAACGAATAGTTCTTGTTGCTTTGACCAGCATAATATGCCATCTAGGCTGCGACAGAAGCCTATTGACTCTGAAAAACTATAGCACATGTATGGAGATACGTTCTCCATTTTATTTGCATTGAAGACACCTCTAATAGCTCAAGAGACTTTGATTCTAATGCTATCGCTGAGTGTGCTTCATGGTATGCACTCCACGCTGAAATCCGCAACATTGTTATTCGCCTCGGAGGAGACGTTAACCAAATTGGTTACTTATCCCAATTCAGTTGGTTGTTCACATGTCAGCGCAATTCACAACTATGATTCAAATAACTGTAAATCACAAGTCGATTCCACATCGGGGCTTTTGAATCACACGCGTTGGAAACGCTGTTCATGGGATGGGGCATCACTACACTATTGTATGCTTTGTGTGGAGGCTGCTGTTGGTCCCATCCCAAATGCAAAATATTGGTTGTCGTCGAGCGCTCATGAGCATTGTTGCATCAGGAGTCAGTCCGAGTTTAGCTGGCTGCAGAACACACCACTTGTCAAGTTGCTATTATTACTCCACCAACACGATGAACTTCAAGACCTGGTTCGCCTTCGTCTTCGCTGCTGTCGTCGCCACCGTCGCAACGGCTGAGGAGTCCTCCCTCAGTGGGGACCCACAGTACTGCCAGGGAGATGGTTGCCCGCCTCTCTACTGCGAAGCGAACATTCAGATAAGTCAGGCCTGCCGTAACGACATTGCTGTGAAGGGCGGTACATTTGAGGCTTGCTGCAAGACGAAGTGTGGCGCCTCGGCCTAGATTGCAGCCTTCGATCCACGGATGATTTCGCCATCAATCGATAGTATCAGACTATAGATGAGCTCAATCGAAGGTACTCGTTTTATTTGTTATGTCAAGCTTGATTCTTTTTCTTACAATGCAGACCAATTCGCCTGCTTCCTTGTTTAAAGGGTTTGACTAACGTAAAGCAGCACGCGTTAGAATCACCACCTCGCTCTCTTCATTTCTGCTTAGTACAGTGGCTTCGCGAGAATAAACGCCATCAGCATTCAAGGACTGTGAAGCTGCTGTTGGAACGAGATTGTCATGATTAAATGGCGACCGCGATGCAGATGATGTAATTTGCCGTTCATATTGGTAAAATGCATTGGATGAACAAACTCGGCACCTTCTTTTTTTTATTTCAGTTCGGCCGCTCCAGTAGTGCGATGGGTAATACTGTCATTCTCGATAACCTTTACGCCTTCGTTCTGTTGCGCTTCAGTAGCAGAACCTAATAACAGGGAAAGAGTTGGCTACAGTTGTGTAGTAGTAGTAAAAGCATATAAGTATAATAACCTCGCCACGGGGATTTCTTTCGTTTCTTTGGAACTATACGCGTTTTTGATACGTGCTGCTTAGAAATATTTGTATTGCCGTTGCTAAGCCTTAATTCATACTTTCTTAAAAACCAACTTGCTTACGAGTTTAAACACACAAGGTGGAACCGCTGCAGGCCGTAGTTCACCCGAGCGACATTTTTTTGTATTACTTGCGTAGTATTCAGTGAAAAACATTAGCGCCAACTGGTTTACTGTTGGAAGTGGACGAGCTGCCCAATCTAATACTTAAGCAAACTCTCTCTCTCTCTAATAGAGAGAGAGTTTGCTTAAGAAAGTCTCTACAGTAGTGGACGGGTTGTCGCAAGCCATCCGGAACATCGCAATTCCTTTTATCGGGGCACCAATCAAAAGTACCAAGTGTCAATGAGTGAATTTCAGCACTTGCTCCGCTCTCCTGATCAACGCTGTGATCGCCACTCTCGACCCTGCGAATACTCAGCAGCAACTCTGCGGGGTCGAACCTTGCTGGATCGATACTCGGAAACGACACCCCGGTCAGTAAATGCTACGAGGCCGAGGGTGGCCACTTTAACATGTACTGCGCGACGAGTTGCTGCTCTGGCGACCCCTGCAAGTGAGAGGGCCACATGCTGAGCAGACAAGCACAAGATCCATTTTGCCGCAAGTAGTACGGTAGCTCGCAAACTAAACATCAGTTTTTTGCATGTCCAGATTTTTGCTTTTTGCTGGGCTGACAATTTTTTTTTGTCAAACAAGATAGAAAGCCCTGGAACATGCAAATTTGAACTGCATACCGCACTTGTGTGGTACTGGGGAAGTATTAAATCTTGAGCGGACAGTCGGTGTTTATAAAGAGGATCGTAGACTGGCGAAGAGGTCTAATAAACTATTTTAATTGATACATTACAATTAAATGCCAAAGGACCGTGAGTTGTTGCTTGTTGCTCTAGAGAGAGGTGCACTCTATTCTTTTTTTTCTCGAGAATTTTATTCTCTCAAACTCTCACGCACTCTTTCAGAAAATACTTAAATCAAGGCTTCGTTTTTCCCCGAGCAGCCGTCAAGATCTACTGTAGCGGCCTCTCCTTTTCGCTGTGGCCACGCCTTTTATCATGCTGATCCCTTCGCCTTTAGCAAAGATGGACAAACGACGGTTGGGAAGGCTGCAGCTTCCAGTTGTTTTGAGCGAAGATGGCCACTTACGTGAAGATGACGCCGTGGCAATGGCTGTTCACGAGTCTCTGTCATTTACCGCCTTGGAAAACGACGATAACCCAGTGTGCCAAAGCGCTGCATCGAAACCTCATAAACGCCTTGCCATCTTCGCCACTTTAGAGCTTTCGGTGAACAAAATGGAGACGAGTTTCAGTCGCGTCGCACGTTCACGTACGTCAGATGGATACATTCCACTGAACTATACAGAGCTGGCGAAACCGGGTTACATACATATGCCGCATATGTAGACACATACCGATTTGTCACCTCCGGTACAGGTACGTTGCTGCTGAGATTTGCGTTGGCCAGCGCAACCATTCTTCGTTGTCATCTCGGTTGTCCACTTGAGAATTGGTGGCGTCGCCCATCGCGACCGCAATGCAATGCTTCAACAGGCCTTTACAAGTACTAAAAGCGAGCTATAGCAGGTTTCTTGTAGGCGTATTGACGAATACAGTACTACATGTAAGTAGTACAGCATCGCTGGTATCCACACAGAAATCTTCAGCAGGAAGCCCGACATTTCCCGATGCCGCAGCGCAAGATCTGCCACCAGAGCGGCTGCAATCCTACCGAGATTCCTCGCTGATTTGCAAGCTGCAATCAATTTTGGCTACACCAGCATTGCTATTGTTCATCAGCAGTAAGGTCGTCTCTCCACCAACGCGACCGCAAGTCCACAACCACGCTAGCACATTCGCGCTTCCACCCTCCCTCAACCTCCCTCAACAATTCCTACAAGCACTTCACCAATATTGTCTACTTTTCTTGTCAATGCCAAAAATCAGGTTTTAACCTGGGCGCCGCTTCGTGATTGGCTCGTCCGGCGGTTATGCACGAGGAAAGACCAGACGGAGAGGAGGGAGAGACTGGAGAGTCAGCGAGCGACTCCACGATCACCGTCAGTGCGCCCGCGTCGCCCCCCAGTACGCGAAACAGCCCAAGACAATCATGGCGGAGGACTCAGGAATGCTAGACAATGGCGCCATGGTCTGGGTGCCCCACGACGAGCAGGTATGGAAAAAAGCCGTGGTCGTGCGTCGCCTGGACGACGGCGTCTCGGCCGAGGTGCGTCTGCAGCCCAGCGACGACGGCGAATGGGACAAGGACGACGGCCTCGAGCAGGTCGTCAACATCCGCGACATCGCGCGTCTTGCCGGTGAAGTCTCGGACGAGGCCATGCCGATCTGCAACGTGTTCGAGGCCGACGGAGCCAACGACATGTGCACGCTCAACCATCTTCACGAACCGGCAGTGCTGAAGAACCTGGAGCTTCGGTTCGCCAAGAAAATGCCTTACACATACACTGGCGCCATCTGTATCGCCGTGAACCCATACCAATGGCTCGATCTGTACGGCAAGGAGCTGTATCTGCAATATCTGGAGCAGCCTCGTGACTCGCTTCCTCCTCACCCGTTTGCACTGTCCGCTACGGCCTATATGGACATGAAGAGGACGCAAGTGGACCAGAGTATTCTGGTCAGCGGAGAGTCTGGAGCTGGTAAGACGGAGACGGTCAAGATCATGATGAACCACTTGGCCTCCATCTCTGGCGGTGGCAATCACGGTACGAAGGTCATCGACCAAGTGCTCAAGTCCAACCCCCTACTTGAGTCATTCGGTAACGCCAAGACCAAGAGAAATGACAATTCCAGTAGGTTCGGCAAGTTCGCTCAGCTCCAATTCGACAACATGGGTTCACTCGTGGGTTGTCTGTGTGAGACTTATCTGCTGGAGAAGAGTCGAGTGGTCGGACAGACGGAGGGAGAGCGCAACTACCACATCTTCCACCAGATCTTCTGTCTGTCAGAAGAGCGTAAAACGGAGCTAAAACTCACTGGAGATGCCACTAATTACAAGTACGTGGCGGAGGGTGCTGAGGCTGAATTGACCGGCATCGACGACATCCAGTGTCTGAAAGAGACGCAGGACGCTCTGGACACGATCGGCATCTCAACAGAAGAACAGAACGCCATCTTTGAGATCGTAGCAGCCATTTTGAACCTCGGAGAGGTCGAATTTGAGCAAAACGGCAGCGATAACGAGAAAAGTCACGTGAAAAACGAGGACATTGTGGACAATGTGGGTGCTCTGCTGGGTACTGAGAGCGCTGCACTGCACTCGACGCTGCTGGAGCGTTCCATCACTGCTGGTTCCGAGTCGTACACGATCCCATTGAACGCCGAGCAGGCCTCGGACCTGCGCGACGCGCTGGCTAAGGGTATGTACACCCAGCTGTTCGACTGGCTGGTGCACCGTGTCAACAAGGCCATGTGCTCCACCAACAACGTCAAGACGCACATCGGTTTGCTGGATATCTTCGGTTTTGAGAGCTTCGACCAGAACGGCTTCGAACAGCTGTGCATTAACTACGCAAACGAGAAGCTGCAGCAGAAATTCAACAGCGATGTCTTCAAGGATGTCCAGCAGGAGTACGTGGATGAGGGAATCCCTCTTACACTCGTGACATTTGAGGACAATCAGCCCATTCTGGACCTCATTGAGGGACGTATGGGCATCGTCAGTATGCTAAATGAGGAAGTGCTGCGTCCTCAAGCCACAGACAACACGTTCGTGAGTAAAGTATTGGATGCGTGCAGCAACCACCCGAGTATCGAGAAGAACCGCATCAATCCGTTGGAGTTCACTATCCACCACTACGCTGGTGATGTGACGTACAACGGTACGGGCTTCTTGGAGAAGAACAAGGACACTCTACCGACAGACATGGTGCAGCTGCTGTCTAGTAGCTCGAATGGAGTCATCTCGGGCATCTTTACACCTACACAGAAGAGCAAGCGCAACAGTCGAGGCAAGAACGGCAAAGAGGGACGTCAGAAGGGCTTCCTGGTGGGTAACACTATCGCTGGAGCCTTCCGTAAACAGCTTTCTGAGCTCATGGAGACCATCAACAAGACGTCGTCGCAGTATGTGCGTTGCATCAAGCCGAATGCCAACAAGAGCGCCGTCGAGTTCAACCGTCTCATGATCGTGGAGCAGCTACGTTGTGCTGGTGTGATTGCTGCTATTCGCATCAGTCGAGCAGCTTTCCCTAACCGTCTGCCGCTCGTGGAATTCCAGCAGCGATTCCAGATCATCTGTCCGTCGGCATTGCGTGATGCTGAGCCCTCTGAGATGGTTGCTGGTCTACTGAAGGAATTGATCCCGGACATGGCTACAACGATGCAGAACTCCAAATTTGCGGTGGGTAAGACCAAGGTTTACTTCAGTTCAGGTCTGTTACAGCGACTGGAGGACCGTCGCAACGTGATCCTGAAGGACCACGCCATTCTCATCCAGAAGACCATGCACGGATATGTACACCGCAAGCGCTTCTTGCGTCAACGTTCTGCTGTGGTGAAGATGCAGGCTGTTACTCGCGGTGGACTGCAGGCCAAGCGCTACCGGACACTACGTGCTGGAGTTATTAAGCTGCAAGCTCGGGAACGTGGACGTAAGCAGCGCTATCTGTACGCTCTGCTGCTTGCGCGTGTCAGGAAGGAACGTCAACTTGAACAGGAACGTCTCCGTAAGATCGCGCAGGAAGAAGAAGCGGAGCGTATTCGCCAGAAGTCGATGCAGGAGGAACGCGAACACAGCGACCCTCAACCGGTACGTTCTGTTCGCTTTAATCTCTGATTTTTAGTGGTAAGTTACTAAGGATGTTCTTGTGACAGGAGCCTGTGGAAGATGACTGGAGTGACGAGAGTGACAAGGACGAAGAACTTGAGGACGGACCATCCGGCCCCGTGTCCCCACGTACCCTCCGTGCTCTTACTGAAGCGGCCTCTAAGGTTGCAGAGGCAGAGTCGGCCGCTCGTGACGCTAAGCAGGCTGCTGAGGCTGCGTTGGAGCTCAACCGTGAGCTGGTGGGCCAGAACGACCGTCTACGCTCGACGCTGTCGTCTAACGTGGCGGAATACGCCGACGCTGAGCTCCTACGTGAGAACGAGCGCCTTAAACAGCAGGTGCTGCAGCTCCAGACGAAGCTCGTGCGCTCTCAAGAAGTCTCGCTTATCTCCGCCAAGGTGGTGGACAGCCGCATCACGTACCGTGAAGGACGCCAGTTTGTCGAGTACAAGCTGCAGATCGAGACCAACACACGTGGCACGCTGTACGTGTGGCACCGTTACAGCACGTTCCGTAACCTGGCAGCGACGCTGCAGACCAAGAACGGATACAAGCGCAAGGAGATCCCGGAGCTGCCGAACAAGCAGCTCTTTGGCAACTTCTCCGAGAAGATCATCCAGGACCGTGTGGCCAAGCTCAACCAGTTCTTGGAGGCTGCTACCAATGCTGAGTACCTCCAGTGGGGCATTCGTGTGGACCAGGACACGTGCGTGTACAAGCGTCGCGTCAAGAACGCGTCCCGGGAGAGTATCTCCACGGCCAGCACGCACTCGTCATCGCCGCGCTCGTCCTCACGACTGTCGATGAAGTCGTTCAGCTTCCGTCGCGGCAGTACGGCTGGAAATTAGACTGACAGAGTGGAAAGTGGACCAGCAAACAAGGCACATTAGATGGAAGTTCTGCGTAATGCATTTATATTCCTCACAGCGCTCCGTGTTTGATTCAGTTTGTGTTGGGTAGCAACAGTCCAGCTCTTGCAGACAACAACAGACTCGAAAAGTAGTTGACACGAGTTGTTCGGTTGAGTTACGCTGTACGGAGGATGATGTGCACTCCGCTGTCCGTGTCCACGACGTCGCTTAGCTCGCCCACTTTGAGCGCAAACGTGGCATCTTCGAAGGGCTTCTGCATCATTCCGCGGCCGAACGGGCCGAGGTCGCCGCCGCGCGTGCCGCTGTTGCAGTCGCTGTACTGCATCGCCAGGTCCTCGAACTTGGCCTGACCCGACACGATCTGAGCGCGCAGTTCTGTGATCAAGTGGCAACAATCAGAACAAAAGGCTACTAATCTATCAGAGAGTCCGTATGCGTACCGAGCAGCTTGGCGATGGCTTCTTCCTTGGAGCGCGTGATGTTGTCGCTCAGACGCGACGCTGCAGCAAAAATTGTGTCAACCAGGAGCGCTTCAACATTAACTAACGGAGACTCGTACCGGGGCGACGCGAGCCGCTGTGCTTGATCAGCAGGTGAGACGCTCGGACTTGCTCTGCTCAGTCGCACACACAGCGTTAGATCCCATCGAGCTGCCTCGCGCTCATTAGCAGCGTCATACCGGCCATCGTTGCTACAAGGTGAGCAAAGGGGGATTGATCGCACTTATGTTTTCTACATCAACTTGATGTGTTGTACACCATCCATCAACCATAATCTTGTTTTGACATGCATTCTCGAAGCAGCAATCCGAGCCGCACAACGAGCGCGCATTCTGGCTTGAGTCGGCTACGATGTGGACGCAGGACTTCGTGCGCGTGCTGCAAGGCGCCAGCAAAGTTGCTGAGCAGGTGGTGCGCACACAAGGACCCGATGTGGCCACCAAGAGTGGACAGCTGTCTAAGCACGCGACGGAGCTCGCTCGGTTGGTGCCCTACTTCCTCAACGGAGAGGGCGCTCCGCCTGCTCCAGCTTCTCAACCAGTACAAGTGCAGCCTGCTGCAGCCTCTAAGCCAGTACAGACACAGCCCACTGTAGCCTCGGAGGCCGTGCAGACGCAGACCAAGACACAGGAGAAAGCTCCGGTGCTGAAGCAACAAGTAGACGCGATTAGAGAAACGCCTAAGAATCCGGAGATGAAGATCACGACGGAACCGCTTAAGGACGACACGATCAAGCTCCCGGAACTAGAAAATAAGACCTCTGAGCCTCTGAAGATCGATACACCTCCTGTTGTGGACGAGGAGCCGCCTAAGAAGGTGTGGGAGGAGAAGCACGTGCCGTCGTCGCCGCTGTCCCGTATCTTGGGCTTTGGTGGCCTTGCAGCAAGGCTGGCAGTAGGCACTGCAGCAGAGATCGTACGTAGTGGAGGAAAGAACGGTACCTACAATGCATTGGTGTCCGATGCCAATGCTGAGAAGCTAGCGGAGACACTGTGCACCATGAGAGGAGCAGCTCTCAAGCTCGGGCAGATGCTGAGTATCCAGGACGAAGCCATGATCCCGTCTAAGTTGGCGGTAGCACTGGATCGTGTCCGTGAGAAGTAAGTTGAAGGGTTTATTGAGTGGTGGTGTTGATATATTGCTAACTTATTATTATTGCTGTTGCTATAGTGCCCACGTGATGCCGAAGGATCAGCTGCACCATCAACTCAAGACCGAACTGGGTGACGACTGGCGCGACAATTTTCAAGAATTCGACGATGTTCCCATTGCTGCCGCGTCCATTGGCCAGGTAAATTATATTTGTTTTTATTAAATTATTTTTATTTAACACGATTGTGGTATACCGTATTGACAGGTGCACCGCGCCACGCTGCTGAATGGTGACCGTGTGGCGATCAAGATTCAGTATCCTGGTGTGGCCGAGTCCATTGGCAGCGACCTGCTTAACCTGAAGAGGCTAGTGACATACACCAACATCTTGCCCCGTGGACTGTACATTGACGAGATCATCCGTGTGGGCAAGGAGGAGCTCACAGCCGAGTGCGATTACCTTACTGAGGCGGACAACCAGGAACGTTTCAAGGAGCTAATTGAGCAAAGCGGCATGGGGGAGAAGTACGTGGTGCCACGAGTGTACCGCGAGTTGTCCACAGCGCGCATCCTGACAACGCAGTTGATCTCGGGCGTTGCAGTCGACAAGGCCGTACATCTATCCCAGGACGTGCGCGACAGCATCGCTCGCCGTATTTTGGAACTCACGATTCATGAGCTCTTCAACTGGCGTTTCATGCAGACAGACCCGAACTGGAGTAACTTCATGTACAATGCATCCACCGACACGATTGGACTGGTGGATTTCGGTGCTGCTCGTGAGTATCCCAAGGCATTTGTGGACGATTACTTTAACATCGTGTGGGCCGCGGCGAACGAGGACGAGAAAACGCTGGTCGACTATTCAATTAAGATGCACTTCCTCACTGGCGACGAGTCTCCGAGCATGATGCGCGCCCACGTTGCAGCCGGTATGGTGGTAGGAGAGCCGTTCCGGTCCCATGAGCCTTTTGATTTCCAGAAGAGTCAGCTGACCACTAGACTCGGTCAGCACACGGAGGTTTTCATGCATGGCCGCCTGACACCGCCTCCACAGGAGGTGTATTCTCTTCACCGTAAGCTTGCTGGGGCTTTCCTTATGTGCATCAAGCTACGCGCGGTGGTTCCTTGTCGGGATGTGCTAGAAGACGTGCAACGCCAATACTACTCCTAACTGAGCCCAATCTACAGGAACGACTCGAGGAAACAAGATAAAATGAGGACATGGGGTTGCTTGAATCAAAATCTTTTAGACGGAATACAACAAGGAATTCACTCTTGCCTTCAGCTGCTGGGCTTGGATTGAGAAAGGCAGGTAGTTGAATGTCTTGGTTGAGTGGGTACTGACCTTTCTTGCGGAAGGCGTGAAGGGCTGCCTTTTGCTTTTTTTCATTTTCAAATTACAGACGACGAGAGAAATCGAGACCCAGGTTTCAGACGAGATGTTCCTGGCACAAATCCGCCTGAGAGCCGCAGAGAAACTGGAAAGCCAGGCTGGAATCCTCAGACTCATCGGTGTAAGTGAACGGCACGGTTGCCACTAATGGACGTGAGATCTAACACGTTTTCTTGTGGAACGAGAAAGGGAGACTCTCTTACACCGACGAGGGCTTGGATGGATGAAATTCCAGAAGAACCAGAGCGACTGAAGCAACCAGAGCAACCAGAGGAATCGCAGCAACAGGTTCAGCATTTATTAACTCCAGAGGAAGAAAATAATGCCAAGGCTGAGCCAGATCCAGTTGCAGAAGACCCTCTTGCGCGTTACCGGGCGATGCTCAAAGTTGGTGTCCCTCGACCTGCTGTTGAGAGGCAAATGCTCAAGAACGGAATCAATCCCGCAGCATTAAATGGACCCGTTCTGGAAGAAACCACAGTCATTCAGCACAGCCCTGAACCAGTGGCGAATGCAACGACAAAGCGTCGAAGATGGCACTGGAATGAAGTCCCAGCAGCCGATCGAGCTCCACCTCCGCTGAGCGGGTCTGTGTGGACTCGGGACAACGAGGAAGACGCATGTCAACGGGTCAGCACTCTGTCGCAAGCTCGTATCCAGGAACTGTTCGTGAGAGAGATTGACAACCAAGTCGAAGGCGACGACCGTGATTCTTTGGTGTCGATGACTAGCGATGCTGAAGTGGCCCTGGCAGTTCAGCATTCGTCCACATCTGTAAAGAACGAGAAGGTGCAAGTGATGAAAGGAACTAAAGGCACAAATTTGGAGTTTGTGGTGAGCCGACTCAAGCATCCCTTCGCTAAGGTAGCTCAAGACGTGAACATCCTGACGGCCATGTATCTGCAAGACACGGACATCAAGACGATTCTGGCAATGTGGCCCAGTGTGGCTGAACAAGTCATCCTAGACGAGTATTCTGGAGATTTCGACTCACTGGGGCGTGTAAGGTATCTGGAATGGCATCGTGAGAGCTATTTTCTCACTGGATGTGTGATTTTTCTTAGTGTGAGCAGTTTTTGGTGAAGATCCGAGCAGTTCCAATGGCAAAAGAGAAGCTCCAATGCCTTCTATTGAAACTGGAGCTCCAGTCTCGTGCGGAGGACCTCAAGTAAGTCTTCATCCAGCGGAATATACCAGCAGATCTGATAGTTATTTTGTGCTCTGCGTAGACAACTGGTGGAGCTTGTGACCCGGGCGTTGAATCAAATCTGTTCGAGTTCCAAGTTCAATGAAGTGATTCGACTTCTTCGAGACTTTGGCAACCTTGCCAACGAGGAGTTCGTGGGGAATTACCGAGCAAGATTCTCGCTGGAGTCGTTGCTCAACTTGAGCCACACGAAGGCGTTCGACAAGAAGACCACGATCTTCGATGGATTCTTGTACCTCCTTCGAGTATGAAAATAAAATCGTGATGAAGCATCAAGAGGTTCTAACTAAGTACATTTTTTTGCAGACTGAGAAGGATGGAAACCTCGCGAATTTCTACGAGGAAATCAACCTTGTTCTGCAGTGCAAGGGCGTGTCAGTGGGTGGTCTAACGGTGGAAATGAACCAACTTCGCGAGGGTCACCAACTTGTAAAGTCAGTTGCTCTAGCAAGCAGCAAGTTGTCGGACAGGGACGCAAAACTGGCGCAAGATGCTTTTAATCAATTCGCAGATGAAATCGACGACAGATTGCGCGGCGTGCAGGAGAGTTTCGACAAGATGGAAGCGAGCGTGAGTTCTAGAAGTGCTGAACTACTTCTTTCCCATTCTAATTGTTTGTTCTTGACCAGCACCGCGCGTTCTTGTCGTGGTTCGAGGAGAATCCCAATGTGCCGCTGGATCAGCATCTCAAGGAGATCGCGCAGTTCGCGTCGGAAGTCAAAGACAGATTCGCAGTACTCAACTGGTGCCTTTAAAATGACTGCGACGGTACTTGTCATGATCCCAATCAGCAACGTTTCCGTTGACAAGAGCTGTACTTGCGTCAGAAACGGTAATTACGGAATATCATAGCAGACACGGTAAATATGCTCTAAAAACTCAGCGATATATTACGAGTTGCCGCTAGCTGATGGTGTGGCAATTATGATACAGGACGTCACAACCTGACGTCCATAACTTAGGGTGGCTGTTGATGCAGCTTAGAGTCCGATCATGGACGCGTTCTTGCAGATGAAAAGCATGAAGCGGTTGCGGCACTCACGGAGCTGATCCTGCATGTCGACAAGCGCGAAGTGGTTGTAGTGCACGCGGCATAGATACTGCATCATGGTGAGCATTTGCTGGCACATTTCGCGGATCTGCGGGACCGTAAGGGGTTCTGGAGAGGTCATGCGCTCTCCGATCTGCTCCAGCGTGGTCGAGAAGTTGCGCGCGGGCGCGTCGTCGCAGCAGAGATCTCGGCACAGGTCTACAGCCACAAAGAGCAGCAGCTCCAGCTCCTCGCGCAGTAATGTGGCTTCCTCTAGTACCATTTCATACTCTAGTTCAGTCCACGAACAACGCGCACGTTTCTCCCTGCAGTCATCGCTGAGTACGATCTTGCGCTTGCGGCTAGCGGAAACCTGAGGCGGCAGCGACTGGCGCTTGTCGACGAGCAACATGTTGGTGAAGGCGAACGGCTGGAAAATGATGGCAATTGGCGGCCAATGCGCCTGGGACTGACTTAAAGTTGTGCGCTGTTATTAGCGTGACTTGCACTCGAGAGGGCACTTTGGTAAATGAGCCTTCTGACCTCAAGCCGTCTGGTGATGGGCGCCTAAAATATTTGGAACCGGATGGCGTGAAAAAATTGAGGTTGACGACACACTTGGTCTCAGTATGCGCGATGTGTGGCAGACGTTGCAACGTTTTGCAGTTTGAGGCAACTTTTGTTCTGACTCATGACGCTCTTTTTTTTCAAGAGGCTTTTCTGGAGTTTTGTCGCTGTTGGAGTGAAAAATTCCTCGCTTCTGGTATGTGAACTTCCTTCTGACAGGATTACTATTGCCTCCTGGTGTATAAAAGTTTGGCGAAATAGACGAGTATCGCACCGGGAAAGCCAAAGATCGCAAGCAAAAGCTGGGTATTTTTTTCTCAAGGCAAAATCCTCTCAAATTATTATTTTACTTTGAAGTATCTGATTTCATGCGAGTTTGGAGGCGTTCCCCTTGACCTCCACGCCCGGTGTGCAAGCGGTACGCTGCGGGCGACACCGAAGCCACCTCCCTTCAAGGAAATCAAGGAAGCCACGCTGAAATAACGAGACGGCAAAACAATTCAAAAACAATTCATGTTATAGTCAGCACAATTTTTGCACCACGACGACGACGCCGTGCACTGGCCGTTGCGTTGGAGCGCTGCTTCTTCAATCCATACTGACCACCATCGCAACGTATTCGTCTCGGTCGCTATCAATAGAGGAGCATTGATCGCCTCCACGGCTCTTTCTTGGCTGATCTATTTTGAATGTTGTGGTTCGTCAGAAAAAATTCGATCCGTTTGGCTTGAGTATCAGAAGAAAAAAATCAGCTCCAACCACCTGCGCGTCAAAGACGTCGAGGACTGGACTGGTAACAGACAGAGCTGGTGCTTGTCGACGAGCTCGTTTATTTGCCCGTGCCGCTGGTGGAGCGGTCGACCATTCCACACCATCGCATGGCTGCTGGGAACTCGGTGCAAGGGTCCGCCCTTCCCAACATAGCGCGGCGTGCAAGGCGGATGCAACGAGTGCAAGCGCTTGCACTTTGCTTGCTGTCGTTACAGGGTATAGTATCGTTCGAAACTATCGAACGGGTGGTCGCTGAGGACTCGAGGAAACGATCTTAGAATTTTTGGTTGAAGCGGCAGAACTGGCTACCGACTCAAGTAGTCGGAACATGGCTACACTCATGGGGATGCGCTTGTCGTTGTTGCACGCGGTCTACGATGATCGCGGCCACCAAACGCTTGGCAATAAGCGACGCGGAAGCTCAGCCAGCCAACCGATATCATGACCCACAGTCAGCGCCGGTAGCTACGCTTGCAGCCCTACTATCTCCTTATGGTCGGTGTTTAATTTCGAGACATTTTTCACGGAGCTCAGCAATCATTAGCCTTATTTAAATAATCTGCGAGCCCGCGTCAATCGGCGCTGCTGCTGCTGGTTTGTACGTTGATATGTGTTATGTTCGGAGTCGAAAATAATGCAGAAAAATGAATTATCGACAACACACGGCACGCAACACGACACTGGAAGAAGTTGCAGTCTGTAGCCACATCAAGGGACCTCACCGAAATGTTAGAACGTCTATGCTCGATGATGATCTGATAACATTTCAGGACCTTGCTACTTGTACTGGCAAGTTGCCAGGTGGGCCGGGCAATTATTTAGGAGCAGGTGGTAACTTACAACTGGTTAGCATCGCCAGAAGAGTTTGGCCGCCCCACGGCAAGGGTGGCAAAAGAAAAGTACGTGGGAGGGGACGACATTGGTAGTAGATCTCATGGGTGTACACTTATCTCCTGATCTATTGGTATGACAATGGATACAGCACTTCTCTAAATCAACTTCCGTATCGAGAGCATGCTGTCAACTGAGTTCGTGTCACTTGAATGCCGAAACAAAAACACCGTCATATCCATCCAGTCTATTTACGCGATCCCTTCTTGCCCTGCTTGACTTTCCTGGTAACAAGCGGTCTGCCCTGCATCAGCATATCCAGCCCCTTACGATTGACACACTCGCCCGTCGACGTGTCTAGTTGCAATTTTCGGCTACCCAAGGCAAAACTATAGGCGTCCTGCCCGTCATGGCCTAGTAGCTTAAAGTCTGCAAGCAAAACATAAGCACAAAACAAAACAATTAACTTCGAATAAAGCCCCTATGCTTATCCACCACTCACGCACCTTTCGGTGAGGCTTCCAGCACTTCCTTCTGTCCGACACCCAAGACCGAAACGCGCACGAACTCGTTAGGATCGCCTACTTTTCGACACGTCACGATGTCCGTCACCACTTTGTCACACATTCTCTTGGCGCCGAAGAACGCAGTGGCCGATGCACTACAAATGGCTCCACTTGTAGCCAAAACCTCCAGCATATTAGCGCTGGCGTCTGCCTGGTACACGAGGCTGCCTGACAGTAGCAATGCGCAGTACATCTGGAAGCGGCTACCGGGCCCCATCCAGCGCATCAGATCTCCGCCGCAATTCTGTACGATCGGCGTCTCATGTACCTTGGATTTGTCTACGGGCACTTGGATCGTGGGCTTAGCAGCGAAGCCCCGTGCTAGCGGAGACGCAAGCGTAACCGCTCGTCGAGACAGCATGTTCGTGTGTGGCTATTGCGATTGTGTTGCCTACACAGCATGTACGTAAAACTCACATAACTGATGTAATCTACGTAAAACCACATTTCGACAAGTTTCATCACATCCGACGCGGAGTGATGGCCGACTTCGGCGTGCGCGCCAAAACCTCGCGGATTCCGTGGCTTCTGCTGCTCTGGTGGACGCAGAAGATATTGTGGCTACGTCGGTGGCTCAAGATCTGGGTACAGAGGCCTCTCATGCGGCTTGGTATGGGCTCAGAAGACGTTGAAGAGGTCGAGAACGAAGAGGTCTCGACTCATCCGGACGACCAGCATCCGGATGCTGCTCTTCCCTGTGGTCTCGTTAATAGTGGCAATTTGTGCTTCGTGAGCGCCGTTCTGCAATGTCTCGCTACAGTCCCAGGCTTCCTGGACGGCGTGGACCGCGCTTTGCGTATGCGTACACAGCTGCACATGGTACGGCAGGCAGATGACACGCAGACGCAGAAACTTATGGTAGCTGAGACGCTCGTAAGTCTCTTAAGAGGGATCTCGCCTATTAATGAGGAGCTGGAGGCTGAAGCAGAAGCCGGAGCCAGACAGGAACGACAAAGACACAATCGAGACGACAATCAGCAGAAAATGAGACGCTTTAGGACGGCTGCCAGTCGATGTACCTACTTAATTTCCAGTGCTGCATCAAGACAGGAACAACAGGACGCTGAGGAATTTCTGACGTTCCTTCTGGAGCTGCTACACGACCTACTACGAGCTCCAGCGCAGCCTGTTCGATCAGATGATGAAGAACGACAACAGTTTCTGCGTGCTGAGAAGCTGTGTTCCAAGAAACTCAGAAGCTATGACCCGAACGACCCCAGATCATACATGCGGGCTGTCGGTAAGTAAAATTGTTTAATATGGTTGTGCGGGCTGCGTAGTTACTGACTGTTTTTATTATTTTTTTTTAGCAAACCTTGGTGAAGTGCGATGGAATTATTTCTTACGACAGAACTCTTCTGTAATTACCGATTTGTTTTCGGGACAGACTGTACGTGGCTCCCAGTGCTGTAGTTGTGCGAATCTCACGTGCCTTCACGAAGAACAAAGGTATGTTACTTATTCATGTTGATTGGGCCAATCCATCGACTGACGTTAGTCATTTACTGCATGCAGAGTCATTTCACTTACAATTGCCACAGGGAAAGGTGACCAGACGCTGGCTGAGTGTCTGGAACACTTTCGTCATCCTGAGCAGCTCACAGGCGAGAATCGAGTGTTCTGCGACGGCTACTGTCAGGCCAAAACTACCCGCCTCACCCAAATCTTGTTGCAACGTGTGCCGCCTGTATTAGTTCTTCGGTTGCAGCGGTTTAAACACACATCCGTGAGAGGACATGCAGAGAAAGTGGACACTCCCGTGAGTTTTCCATGCGGGAGCGACAATTTCCTGGACATTACGATGAACGCTTTCTTCCGGGACGACGAGAAGGGTGTCAAGTTCGAGTTGGTCGGTGTGTGTGCTCATCTTGGCGGATCAAATGATTCTGGTCACTACGTTGCTTACGTGAGGCATCGGGCCCCCAGACGAGATGCTGAAAGTTCTGTTCAGTGGCTCCGAATTGACGACGAAGTGGTCACAGTGATAGAGGAATCCAAACTTCGAAGCGAGACTTTGACCACTGCATACTTGCTCTTCTACTCTCAAGTGGTCAGATGAGTAAATGAATCCATGAAAAAAATATTATTGTATCGCCAGACAATTTTGATTGTGAAATCGGGGGGGGGTTACGCGATGACACGCAGTTCGAATGAGAGACTGAAGACTTTAAAGTCTCGGTGTTTATCTCGGTGAACTCAAGTTGTTAGCTGATTTTGCGAGTTGTATGGTGGGGCTTCAATCTCGGAGGTAGCATCCCCAACATCGCTAACATCAAGTGGGAAGCTAGTCACGAGTTGGATCAGTCTTACACTGGGGCCAGCGGACAACACCAGGCATACATCCTGGGTAGCCAATGCTACGGCACGCCGGCCAGTAACTGGCGCCAGGACGGCAGTCAGCGGTCGTATCGGTGTCTTCCAGCGCAGTGGACTCCAGTGGGTACTGGCCTTCAAGGTAACACATTATTCAGCCCACACAGCATCGCTTACGTGAAGGCAGATGCACTTACCTCGTTCGGTTGGGAGCCCGTTCACGAGATATCCCAGCATTAAAATCGCGGTGACAGCAACTAATCCCAACAAGATCTTTGACTTCATGATTCCTTCGTCTTGGTATTGGAGCCAGCGAAACTTGAGAAGTGAATGCATTCGACCGTGTCGAGTAATTTCAGACTCTTTTTGAGAAAGCTTCCTGTTGTCATATAGCAGTTGTGGCGAAAAGCACATTCCTTTTCTGCGAGCTTTCGGATACAAACACAAGATTGCGATGCTCAAGTAGAGCTTATACAACGACCTAGGCAACAGGAATCTACGACGCTGAGGTGTAGAAGTGGAACTGGTGATAGTAGTCCAGCACGGCAGTCGTTCCGAACCGGAACAACTTGCCCACGCCTGGTATGTAATCCAGGACGTCCGCAGCCTGTTCATCAAACCGTGAGCATACAGAGGCAACATTCCAGTCTGTATGAGCCCAAAATCCTACCTTTCCAGTCGCAGGCTTGGTGACGGTTGCAAACACTGGGTCGCGAAGCAAGTAGAGTAGCAAAGCCATCTGCCGTATTCAGACAGTAACAGGACAACTTGGTGAGGACGATACTCGCGGATAGAGTTGTAAGTCGACGAACTAACCTTGCGAGCTGCAAATTCTTCTTTAGCCTTGTCGCCAATGACAGGCTTCGATGATTCCACCGGTTTCACAGCAGCAGCAGACAACGCCAGCCTACAGAGGTGCAGACACCAAAGTCAGGCCACAGTCATCAACAAGTTATTCAGTCAGTACATACCCGGACAGTTCCACCAGAAGCGATAAAATGACAGGAGTCCATGAGGTCGCCGGTCGGCGACGACGCAGTACTGCGTACACAACAGGCCGCAAAATGTGGCAGACTTCTCCCGCCACAAGAAGATCCTCGCGCGAGCCGTCCGCGACTTCGATCGTCGCGTCCTGATACCGAACAGCAACGATCGTCAATCACCTTACAATTTGCATCGTGTTTCATGCAGGCCTCACCTCGAACGAGATCTTGTTGGGTTCGTCGTCGCTCTTTCCTGCCGGTGGCTCGGGCTCCGATACCGTAGCTACACCATAATGACAAGCAATCAGCTCAAAATCGTGCAACCACTGTCCATAGCCTCTCACCCTTGCCAAAGGTCTTGCCTGTACGGGCACCAGGCTGTTTGGTCTTCTTAAACCGGGCGAACGCCGACGGTCGAGGCGCAGATTCGACGCCCTTGTACTGGAGACACACAGAGGCGTAAGTCTCGGTTCACAGCTCTATAGTTTATACCAAAAATTCACCTTGCCGCCACGCAGTAGCATGGCACGACGTCGCTGAGCCAGTAGAGCAAGACGAAGTACGCTCTTGACGATCTCCACCCATACAATGAGCCGCCACTTGCCCACATCGCCGCCAACTCGACGAGCGACGACTTCGGCGAGTACTTGTACGTGCGAAATTAGCGACAGTGGCACACGAAGCAGTCGCGTTAACCTGCAAACCAACCAGCGTCAGCTCTTTAGTGTTCCGGCAGATTAGAAGAGAAATTGACGTACTTGTGGCAGTTAGTTGGTGGCTCTGTCTCCTTGTTGTCTTTCTTCCACAGCACGTAGTCATGGTACAGATGCAGCAGCCCAACCAGCGAATAACCGAACTGCGTAGCAACCTCCGGCTCGACTAAGCGCTTAGGCACGAGCTGTGGCGCCACATACATCGTCGTCTCCACATTGCGGGCCAGCCCCGCGTGGCTTCCCACCCACGCCTCATAGGACGCAAGTAGGGACGCCGTCTTGGAGACTGCGGAGGGGGGGACGACACGCGTGGTGGTCGTCATGGTACGCGTGACCGTTGTGGTGGTCTTGGAGTCGTCGTCCACGGCCACGTCCGTCTCCACCGTCGTCGTCTTATTCTCGTCCGACATGTTGAACTGCAAGTGGCGATTAATTAGCACGGAGCTGTGGTTGCAAGAGTTGTGGTGTTGAGTAAACGATCTAGGATCGCACTTTCAACTTATACCCTGTATAGGTCCTATAAGTTATAGGACCGTTAATAGGTTTCTCCCTACATGTTATAGCCAATCAAAATGGATCTCATGTGTTAGTTTGACGTGGTTACTTAGGTGAGTGTATCTGTCTACTTTTCAAAGACAACAACAGCAGCATGTCAACAACTCTGGACTGTGCCACGGCGACAGTGCTGACGTCGCCGGACCATGAGGCGACCTACGCGCTGGTAAATGATGCCCAACACGTTGCGTTTTTGCAGCAAGAATGCCGTATATATGGTTCCCCTGAAGGATCCTTGACGACTGCATCAGTGGCACCACTGCGCTTGGCATTGGAAGAGATGGCTGTGGGCGTTGCAAAAGGATATTTGCGGTTAGAGGCAGCAGCAACTGGACTCGATGGCAGCAGCGGTGGTGATGAAGGGAACGTGCTAGTAGAAGACATCACTCCGGAATTCGTTGAAGAGATACAGTCAGGAGGATCCAATGTCGACACCAAGTCGAGACTGAGTAAGATCTATTGGCTTCGGGGACAAATAGCGTTCATGATCTAACTGGTCTGCTGCAGCACCGCGACGACGTGACCGACTGCGAGTTTTTCGGGACTTATGGGAGAAAGGATATATCGTGACTTTCGGCTCCAAGTTTGGCGCTGATTTCCTCATCTACAAAGGTCAGACTCTGTAAAAAAAAAAAAACTGTGAACGTCGTAGTCATAGACACGATGCTAACGTTATGGTTGTGGTATAAAGACAACCCCAAGCGCGCGCATGCGGTGGCGCTGATCGTGGTGAAAGGTTACGAGGAGGAATTTTCTCGTGTGGATGTCGTGAGTTTCTGTCGTGTGGCCAAGATGGTCAAGAAGCAGCTCGTGTTTGCGTGCGTGCGAGCTAGCGAGGAATACAAGAGCGGTGGTGGGAAGATGGATGATACCGAAGGCAGCAACTCTGAAGTGGCTGGAGATAGCGTTGTGTACGTTTCATTAGCGCATGCACTGCTCGTATCGCGCCAAGAAGAAGGCGGAGAATGATTTCGTGACACTGGAGGTCGTATTTCACAGTATTTGGTGTGCAGACTTAAGTATCCACGCTTATGTGCTACTGCTGCCCGCTGTGGAGGACGGGGTCTTCAAATTCACCTCGTTCTGGCGAATCTTTTGAGCAATTTTAACTAGACAGTCGGCTTCGGCTGGGATCTGCGTGTTTTGCCGCAGATCGAGCGCTATGACGGTGTTATTCTGCTGCAAACCCTGCAGCAACACATCTCCGTCGCTTTCACTGAGCGCGTTGCTGCTCAGATCCACGGAGCGAAATGCCGTCGTTGAATCACTGAGGATTTCAGCCAGCGCTTCAGCACTTTCCTTGCCCAACATGTTGCTGCTCAAGTTCAGATTGGTCAGCGACGTGTGATCCACTAGACCTTCCAGCAACATACGCCCACCGTCGTCTGTGAGACGATTCAGCCGGAGATCCAGCTCCATGAGACTGGTATTGTATTTGAGCCCACGACTGAGATACCGTCCACCTTCCGCGTGTATCTGGTTATCACACAGCTTCAACGTAGTGATCACGCTCTCGGGCCCCAGAAGTTTGGACAGCAATCTCGCACCGTGGTTTGTAAGTTTATTGTGTGATAAATCCAACGAGGTGATACTGGTGTTCTTTACTAGCCCCGTCATAAGCATCCGCAGCAGATCGTCATCCAGGAGATTGCTGGGCAGCCACAACGTCGTCAGCGTATTCGACATCTTGATAACATGCGAGAGGTTCGTGGCGTCCGAGATCTTCATTCCGAATAGCATACGTTCATACTTCATACCGATCTGCTTGACACCGTAGGTGACTCGAAGTCTTGTCAAATTATGTAGTTGAGCACAGATTTCGTTCAAGTCCAAGTGGGACAGCAGTTGGTCGATCTCAAGCGTGAAAATGTATTCGCTGGAGGCCTTGACGACGGCCATTAAGTGGTCATGATCGTCTACAGATGGGTCGAAATCTTCAAGAAGATTCTGTAAGTGTTTTTCTAGGAAGAGTTGCTTCCATGTGAGTCCGTGGTCGGCAATCTGGATGTTTTTCCACTGCGTTTTGCTGAGGCAGCAGCGCTTCCAGTAGTTCTCATCAGTCACATTAGGGGCCGTCACGCACACGTCGAGATCTAACGGCAGTCGAGCCATAACCTCTGGAAGGAACTGGCGAGGCACATTTTGTGCCTTTGGTTGCAAACGAAAGCCGTCGGAAATGATCTTTAGACACATAATCAGCAGCGACGGGATTGCCGTCGATGAACCAGCATTTTTGTCATTATCTGCCCTCTGGGCATTCTGCACGACTCGAGCGCGATACTTCTTTACTTGGTCAGATAAAGCGCACACATCTGTGGTCGCACCGACGGTGGATGCTGATACCATGCCACCTCGTTGTCGTTAATGAAAACGACCCTTCCCAACCAATAAGCACCACTGGTTTGAGCGCGGCAGTCGCTGTCACTCACTTCGGATCGCTTCAAATAGTCGCTACAAATAGCGAGGAATATTTTCTCAAGGCAGCATCTAGCTAAAGCCTAGCGATGAAGAAGTTGCCGTGAGTTGAACCCAACTTCAACTTGGAATCCAAGAGTGATGGTTCCTTGGTTTCCCTTGGATTCCGCATCCATTTCGCATTCCGCACTCTAGCGCGCACGTGAAGGACAAGGAACGGGAGGAAGATGGGAAAACTACGTGTCAATGAAGGAAACAACGTTAAGTCGGGCTTTGGGGAAGATGAGATTGGCGAACTGCGCAAGTACATCGGTGCGTCGGACTCGCACGCATCATTCTTCTGCATGTGCTCACGTTTCGTTCTTGTTGTTGTTTCCTTTTGTAGTCGACATGATGCAGGCTGAGATGGAGCTCATGGAGAACATCAAGCTGAACGAGCGCAACGTGGCGGCGGCGAACGCACGCATCAAATACTTCAAGGTGCACTGATCCACTTCCGATCGAGTGTTTTGACGCTAAATAATTGTAAATGTCTTCAGGAATTGATTTCTCAAGAACGTGCGCGCTATAAAACACTGAGAAGGGAGCTGGAGGGAGACACTGTCGAGCTCAAGAGTTTGGAAGAAAAGCAAGTCGGTAAGGGAAAAAAGTGTATCTACTACCAATGACCATCTAACTGACTCTTGACAGTTGCTGAGGCGAAGCACCGCGAGTTCCGAGGTAAAGGATTGTGAAGCGTAAATTGTTGCTCAATGCATTTAGCTAATTGATACTGCAGACGCCGTAGCCAAACGTGAGAGCGAGGTGCAAGTGCTTCGCACTCGATTTCAGCAACAACGCGCCGCCATGCTCAGTTTGAGATGCCAGGTCTTGAGTGCTACTTCAAATTTGGACAAACTGTCGTCGATACATGCATCGGTGGAGAAGGAGACACAGAACGGTACAGAGTTACTTTTGCGGTCAACATTCAAATGGTTGTAACTGTTACTGTGGTGTTGATACAGTTACTGTGGCCTTGGAGGAGTGTGCTGAGCCGGTCGAACAGCGCACTGCTCGCCAGAAGCTTCGTGCCAAAATCAAATACACGCAACGATTCGTCGTACAGATGGAGGAGGAAACCAACCAGCTTGCCGAGAAGCGAGCCAAGCTTGAAGCTGAAGTACTCAAGTGCGAACAGGAAGCGGACAAGCTACGCGAGTCAATCTTTCTCAAGGAGAAGGAAGTCGAAGTCTTGTTCAACCGTCTGCGTGCCGATACGCTTCACGTCGTCAAAGAAAACGGTATTTCCTGCCACGTTTAACTGTAATGCAAGAGCTAGGTGTAGCTCAAAAAAGTAGTGGTATGTGGTCTATGCAGGAAAGATCGAAGGCAAATTGAAAGCCAAGCGCAGAAACTTTCGCGTCAAAACCAAGAACGAGATAAACTCACTCAAGCGCCGAGTCACCTTTGTAACATCTGGTATGTATTGAGCTTAAAAGTTCATGCCCGCGGTCACGTTCTTAAGGTTTTGATGAATTAACAGAGCTTGAAAGAGGCCAGATGACGAACGAGGATGCGCTGTCTAGTATTGACGCTTTAAGCACCAGACGTGAAGGGCTAGAACAGAGGTATCTATGCGCTTAAGTCGTGGTGAAGATTCGCAATTCTCTTCACTTAACGTTGTTTTGCTCAGGCTGAACGGACAAAACGAGCAAATAGCTGCTGTCGAGGTAGTATCTCTTCAGGCAATTAGGAATTGGCACGGCTTCTAATGCCTTGCTCTGTATAGACTGCTATTACCGAGCTACAGGCATCGATCGCAACTTTTGGCCGAAATGAAGAAGGCTTCGACACCACACGTCTTCAAGAAGAGCTGAATATAAAGCGTGAAGATGCTCAAGTGGCTCAAAAGAAGTTGGAAGAGAAACAGGTATGTGCTGAACATCACGCTTCCTTTCACAACCAATCTGACAACCCTGTAGAATCTCCTTGAGCTCCTGGAAGCAGACCAAAATCAAGTAAGTATCTTGCACCTTTCACCTCGACGCTTTGCTGGAGTGAAGTTGATCGCGTGTATAGCTTGATGCAACATTGAAGGACGTCGAAGCGCACATTGTTGCGGCAAAAGATACAACGGAACGGCTCGATCGTGAGATCGTATCTCTGGCTAAAGACATTAATGACCAAGAGGCGAAAAGCAGAAGCTTAAGTGCATCTGCGGCTGATGCAAAGAAAAAGAGCGATGATCTCCAGGCAGAATGTCAGAAACAGCAGCGCAAGAACAAAATCTCTGCCAAGACCCAAGCAAAACTTCGTCGTCAAAAGAACTCACTATTCAAGCAGGAAAAAGAATTGGCGTCGGAAATTCAAGAAGCAGAACGCTTATGCAGAATCTTGGGTGAAGGTATCAAGGTCCGTGCCACAATCTTACTCTTTTGGTTCTTGTGCGTTGAGTATCAAACAACTTTACATGTGTTTGTAGTACGGCATGGAATGCGTTGAGAGACTCAGAGAATCAAATGCGCTCTGCGACGACAAAGAAAAACGCATCGAGTTTGAACTTCGTCGCCAAGAACTCAGCTTGCAACAGCAATGCGCACAGGAAGAGTCCAAATTTCAGGCAGATGTTGCCTCTTGGGATGAAAAGGTACTCAGATCCGTTAGTTTTTTTTTTTTTTTTGCTTTACATGAAGCTTTAGTATCTAATGTGTTTGGATGCAGATCAAAGATGTGGAGCGACAACTTCGTAGTCTTTAAGAGCTCATTTTCTGAGGTTGCGTAACTCGTTTTTCAGGATGCACGTTTTGTGCATCAGTTTTATCTAGCGTTTTTCGAGTAAGTGTTTGAATTAGCGTCATTCTTGGAATTTGATGCACCAAGTGGCTGGAATGGGAGGGGGAAGTGCTTCAAGTACGCAAGCGAATACCGTTAGCTTGAGATCGAGTGCTTTTGTTCTCATTCTCCAAGTTGTCCTGGACCGCACAAGCAGCAAACATGAAGGAGTTTATCGTCGTTCTCGCCTCCATCCTGTCCGCCTTGACGATGGCGACGCACGTCCCTGGCCATAAGCCTCCAATGAAGTACGGTGAACCCCCCAAGCACTTCGCCGCCGAAAACCGTGTCCTGATGAATGGGGGTGGTCTGGGAGACGGCATTGGTGACGACGATTTAGGTGACGATATCGGTGGATTGGGCGGAATCGGTGGCGTTGGTGGATTGGGCGGAATCGGCGACGTCGGTGGGCTGGGCGGACTCGGAGGCGTCGGTGGGCTGGGTGGAGTCGGCGGCGTCGGTGGGCTGGGTGGAGTCGGTGGCGTAGGCGGCTATCGCGGTAAGTGGACATTTTTGCGGTGTGATATTCGAATACTGAGTTACTGACCGAACGGCTAATGCATTTGACGGCAGCACTGCGTGGGCTTGAGGATGATCTGGAGGATGACGCCAACGCAATTAATGATAACGACGAGGTCGTCGTCGCTGGAAGAACGGTGGTCCGTGGTGGCGCTGTCGTTGCTCGACCGGGCCCTCGTCGCTGGTACTACTGATTTGAGAAAGACATGTCGGGCGATGGACCTGCGGCGCAACTTGATCTTACCTTTTGCTTCCCGCTATCACTGAAGCTGTCGTGCATGTAGTTGAGTAAGCCAAATCAGAAAATGGATGTTGCTTTCCTCTGGTCTTGCCATCCCAAATGCATAAGAATGAAATATTCACTTAGCTTTCTAGATCCGAGTCGTCAGAAACGTCAAGCTCGGCCGGTAAGGCTTACCTCAAGCTAACGGGTCTCATCTGGGTCATATCCATATAGGATATGAAGAATGCTCTTCTTATTCTTTTCAGACGCCGGAAAAGCGAATTCAATGGTTCTGCGGCAGTACGTAAAAGATAAGCTGCAGAGAGTGCCGACTTCGCCAACTAGACAATCTCGTCTGTATTGTTGCACGTGCAGTAGTCCCAAAGCAGATACTTCAGTAGTAAATTGTAAGATGCATCTCGATCAAACGTGATTAAGTTCGCATTTGACGATAACCCTACTATAAACGTTTGGGTCCGAAGCTTGCGTCGTTCTCTACTCGATCTTGAGCACTTCGATCTCGAAAATGAGCGTCGAGTTTGGCTGAATTGTACACTTCATAACATCAGAGCCACAGTTAAGGAAACCAGGAAATTGGTACACATTCGGAATTTTAAATTCATGCAACTAATTGGTGAAAAAGGATATCCCCAGGCCGGGAAGCCACCAGCTCCGTACGAGTAGTCGGGCGTGCAGGTGAGACGCGCCTGCTCTCCAAGCTTCATTCCCAGCACGCCCTCGTCCCAACCCTTGATCACCTGGCCGAGTCCGACCTTGAATGTGAAGGGGGTCTGGCCAGGGTCCTTGGTGCTCCAGAACTTCTGCTGGAGGTCGCGATCCTTGCCGTAGCCCGTGCAGTGCACCGTTACCGACGCGCCCTTCGTGGGCGTCGGCCCGTTGCCCTCCGCCAAAATTTCCTTCGTCACGCCCATTTTGCTCGATCCGTTATTGGGATACCAAACCCGAAAAGGCTATTATACAGCTTATTTCGTGTGACAATACGTAAGACAAGCGATAGCATAGTTGCAAGACCGTACTGCCAATTCGGCAATGTGTTGCAATACTTGTAACGACCTCGCAGCTTGCACAAGCTAACACATTCCAGCTTGTAACGAGGAAGGAAAACGGAATGCAATGCATGGCGCATTATGCATGAAATAGCGCCACGCAGCAGGAGTACTCGTAGCTTACCGGTGAGCCGTACATAAACCTATCTCCAGCACTGTAGCTATTTTTCAAAGCTCATGCATTGGAAACCAGTGCACCCGAGCATTGCAAGTTTGAGAGCGGAGGCAGGGTTCAATGCCGCCGTCATATATTCCAGGCACTGATTATTCCCCAGCATCTCGGTGGACAAGATTGGCAACCTGTCAATTTGATAGTATCAACACGATTGTCATGCGCCCTGAGCAGGGCGCATCCTGGATTATGGATTTCGCCTCTGCTATCTCCGTCGACGGAGTGATCCGTTAATTACTGTGCCTTCCTTTCCTGCCTTCACTTCTTGTCTTACTGCGGCACCGGCCAACGGTGCATCCGACAGCATTTTGCCAGTCAAGTCACTTGCATTCTGCCTTAAGTTCGCTCCTCCTCGGCCAGGGAACTGAAGACCAGCCGAACGATGTCGTCAGGTTATCAACGCTATCAGCGCTGTCACACGCTTACGCGCCCCTCGTTGGCATAGCAGCGCTTGAGAAATGGCTCAGCAGAGTGGCATCTGCCAAGGGATCCTCGAGACATCACCTCACCCACTCTCATTTATCATTGCGAGCGAAAGCGCAGTCTTTGCCGTCATTACGTCATTTTCACCGCCGACGGCGAAAGCGAACACCTTGAAGCGCCTAGTGCGCATCCGTGAATTATCCTGCATTTTGCCAGTCGATCCGAGCTCACCATGATGCACGAGTCGGTCGAAAAGTACGCGTACAACTGGAAGTCAGACCCGACCGTGGACGTCACGACTTCGCCCTCCTCTACGCCACCATCGCCCCCTCCAACGCAGAAGCCTCATAAGTGTCCACATCGAGGTTGCGGCCGTCAGTTCAACCGGAAATACACGCTGGTGGAGCACATGAAGACCCACACAGGCGAGAAACCACACGTGTGTCCTGTTCGCTCCTGCAGCAAACGTTTCAGCACGTCGGGCAACCTGTCGCGGCACAAGCGCCTGCATGGTGTCATCAAGCCGCTCGAGTGTCCCGTCGAGGGCTGCTACTGCACGTTTCCGAGCGACAATAAGCTCGACAAGCACATGCAGTTCCATCTCGGCAGCCCCGTGCACGTATGTACCATCGGTACCTGTGGCAAAACGTTCAGCACCACAGGTAACCTGAACCGCCACGTAAAACACCACCACCCGAACGAGACGCTGCGTCCGCTTCCGCCCAAACAACCCAACGCTCCGTTGATGATCCAACCACCTCAGCAGCTCCACATTAACATCCCGTCGGGGCAACAGGTACAGCAATATCCCGTGGACATGTCATACCAGTTTCCGAGCCCGCGTGTCGTTCCCATGAAGCGGATGCTGGACGTCGCCCCGCCGTCCTTCGCTCCGGGCGTAGCACAGCAATATTACGGAGGTAGCACGACCCGGTGGAGCGGATCAACTCCAGCGCAGGTCGTACCGTCTCAGTTACCGTCTCCCATGGGGGTCACACCCAGAGGCACTCGTAACCCCGGCATCGCCGACGTGCTTTCTTCTATCTTCGACGAGATGGAATACGCCTCCGCTGATCCAGAGAAGCCGTTGCTGGCACCACCACTGCAGCCGCAGAACCTGTTGGACGACATGGTAAACTTCCACGTCGCCCACATTGAGCTTTGAAAAGACATATCATGAGTCAATAGGAGGAATAAGTTAATGAACGGATACGATTGTGGATACCTGTTCGTGTCATCTCAATATCTCGTCATGAAAAAAATAAGAGCATCGGGATCTTGTAAAATCTCGCGTTATCAATCCCATACGATATTTTCGCTAGTATGCCTGAGTGCATTTTGAAGCATTGGCACAGCACGGAATGAAAACTCGAGCAGTGAAAATGACGAGGACAAACCTCGAAGTTGCTGGCAATCCACTTCATTAACTTAAATTTACTACTGTAGTTTCGAACATCTAATACTCGGACACTTTTGCTTTACGACAAGTGGGAGACATGGAAGTTGATCATATCGTCGAGGATACTGATCTTGCCGTGATTTTCGGAGCTCTCAGGCTCTTCGTCTGGCTGGTCCACAGCCTCATTGAAAATATCCGTGAGGACGTCGACCATTTCGTCCGAGTGCCATGTTGTCGACACATTGAGAGGGGGCACTTGGAACTCTTCGCACACTTCGGGAGTGAATTGTGGTAGGCTAGATACGTCAATGGCAGGGGGCTGGGAGACATCCATGCTGCTATCGAGCAGGAGCGCCGTGTAGGAGGATGTTGACTGGTTTTCGGCACTGGTGGGGCTCGATGCATCGAAGTCAGACGACGACGACGATCCGGTGGAGACTTCGTCCATGTGCTGGTGCTTGACATGGCGGTTCAGGTTGCCAACGGTGCTGAAGGTTTTGCCGCAGTGGTTGACGGTACACACTTGTACGGCACCCCCGAGATGGAACTTCATGTGCTTCTCGAGCTTGTTGTTGCTTGGAAAGGAGCTCAAACACCCCTCGACGGGGCACTGCAGCGGCTCAATGTATCCGTGGAGGCGTTTGTGTCTCGACAAGTTCCCGGACGTAGTGAAACGTTTGGCGCAGGTCTTGACCGGACACACATGCGGCTTCTCGCCCGTGTGGGCCTTCATGTGCTCGATTAACGTGTATCTCCGATTGAAGTGGCGGTCACAGCCTGGCTCCGTACAATGGTGAGCTGTGCGCGTCAGTGACTTGGATCGAGCCTTGACGACGGTAACGGAGACCTCAGTCTGAGGCAATGGGGCCGATCCCAGACGTTTGAGCGTCACGGTGCTTTCAAAAGTGGCGTTGAGATCAGCAGATACTTGCATGTTGCGACTTTGCTACTAGAGTCGGAGGATAATGGAGAAATGGTGAAATACTAGTGATAGCGTCGGTGGAACGACGGACAGCGAGGGAGATGGCACTTAGAGCAACTGGACGACACCTGCGTCACGCCATTGCTGGTCTAGTCGAACGAAGTGGGACCGGCAAAAGGACAGCCATCCTCACGGGCGGACCAACGACACCAGTCGCCACCGGCTGGTCCTGAGATATGGCAGTAAGTCGGCAAGAACGTGTGACATCGAGTGCATCCAGCGAAATGGCATCTTGCACACTAGAGAAAGTCACGCAA